TAGGGGAGGCAGTAGTCCTGATGGCTGCTCCCAAGGGCTCCAGGATAGGAGTGCAGTGAAAAGGAAGGAGGCAGCAGACAGCCTGGGAATGTATTCTGGAGACAGAACTAACTGCGTGCACTTTCCTCTCAACCCTGAACACAAAGGTAACTGATAGCCAGCCTGGAACCTGATGATTGCTCAATAACTGTCCAAAAGCAGGTGGATGGGAGGTCAGCTGTTTACTTGCTCTGTCTCTGTTTTCATTATTCACAAAACATCATGAAAGACAAAGACTATTCCAACAAACCAAATATCAAGAAGCTTTTTAGTCACCAGAAAAAAAACTACGCCCCCTTTATTTTGCTGCCCTCACCAGCTCCCAGTTATGCCATGCCATTAGTAAGACATGCAAGTACTAATTTGGCAAAATGCTGTACTCAATCTGAGTGACATTAATGATAATTTATCAGGGGCTTACTACATGACAGGTGTTATGCTAAGAACTTCATGTATGCAATCTTCTCCAACCTTACAACTACCCTGTGAGATGGGATTATTTTTATTTTAGAGAAGACCTCTGAAAATCAGAGGTCTGAAGGTTTTGCCCAGGTCACCATATTAGTGATGAGTAGAGTCTACGTTTGAAATTAGGTCCGTTTCTTTCAAAGTACAGGCTTTTATTCTACGTGTGGTGCTGCTGTTTCTATTATTTCTATTTTTCTGAATTTCATACAACATTCCATGAACACCTAGATTCTCTCTCATTATTGAAATCAACCTTTCCTTTATGTTGAGTAAACAACTCCAATCTGCTTGGTATCTGGTAAGAAATAGGTCAGAATGCTTAGTGAACTGAGAAATGAAGGTAGTGTAGCTGTCCAAAAATAAATAAATAAATAAATAAAAATCAGAGGCAAAGACAGAAATAGTAAAATATATTTGAGATGAGTGATATTGCCTACAGATGTAGCCTTGGAGGTGGTGATGTCATGAGGAGGACAGAGAGAAAAAGACTGTCCAGGTCCTGGCATGAGGTCCGTATGACGCACTCTGCTCCTCCTGATAGAGGGCCACATCATTATTTTTAAAAAAGCAGACTAGTTACCATTCCCTTTATTTAACCAAGGTGAGTACAGGAGACTAAAATGTGTGGGATGCATGCTGGGGACCACACAAGGAGCATTACAGATTCCTCGTGTAATTTCCCCACAGCCCTCCAAGGCCAGTATTGTTACCATCCACCGACTGCAGAAATGAAAGTGGGGATGGAGGAAGTCTCAGGAATGGACCTGTCATCCACAGGGAAATGGTGGGAGAGACTCCAAGCCAGGCCTGCCTTCATCCCAAGGCCACACTCTTCCTGCCACACCATGCCACACCTACTCTTGCATGCTCAGCCCGAGACACGCTAACAAACAGCAAACTCCTTTCCTGCTCCTTGGGACCTTGCAGACCACTCACATTCGATTTATAAGGGGAACAGGTTGTCCTTCACTTTGTTTTCATCTTTGTAATTATTATAGCACTTAGGGAGAGGAGAAGACCTTTCTTTTCTTACTAGAGCCATTTATTGTCCTGGATACTGCTTACCTCTCAGCGGGTTTTACAGAACCTACGGTGTTCTGCTGAAAAGATTTTATATAAAGGCAGTGTTCTTTCCCCATGAGAGAACTGCATCCTTTTAAGAGCTGAATTTTTTATTTTGATTGGTTCACTATTACAAAAGAAGTGCAACATTTTTCCTCTTCACATATTGCTTTTGAGATAGGTCTTTGTGTCTACGCAAGGGTTTTTATGATGTGACAAAATCTACATCAACGTATTTAATAATGTTCTCTTTAAGAGACTCAGCTCCGGAAAGATTATCTTATATACTTTTTACATCCATTTGGAATATTAGAAAATGTAAGTGATCTCAGGCACTTGAATTTGGTTTCTAAAACCAAGGCCCTTGACAGAGAGAGAACACAGATTTTTGGAAGTCCAAGTTCGGGACACCATCAGGGTCAGGTTCCCGCGAGAGCTGTCTTTCCCGCAAGAGCTGTCTTTCTGCTTGCAGATGGCTGCCCTCTCGCCTATGCCCTGTGGGGTTTCCTCAGCGCCTGCACGTACACACACACACACAGAGCTCTCTCTCCCTCTTCTTACAAGGGCACCAATCCTACTGGATTAAGCCCTTACCCTGATGGCCCCATTTACACTTAGTTACCGCTTAAAAGCTCTCTCTTCAAACATGGTCATATTGGCAGAGAGGGCTTCACGGTAAGACTGTGGGGAGCAGTGGGGGAGGGGACACAATTCTGTCCCTAGCAGTCACGAGCAGCACTTCATGCTGTGGCCGCGTACAAGTTTTTGCCACAGTTTTTAGAAAACGACCATGAGGACATTCCCATAGTAAATATTTGGGTATATTTATGATCATTGTTAATATTGGAAAAGTTTACATTTTTTTTCTCTAGAAGGAAACAACTAAAAAGAAATAGCTCCTGCATTAACAACCTTGTTTCATCCCTGTCATCCTTGTTCTTGGAGGATTGTGTTATGCCCTGAATCAATCTGTTCAAATTAATAATCTGAATTTAGGGCCTACGTTTTCCAATTAGCCATAAGAAGGGGTTGGGGTGACCCAGGTTCCATTTTACCTCAGCTCACCTGCAGGCTTCAGCTGGAAACTCTCATCTTTAGGTTGACGCTATAGAAATTAACACAAATTGGGTAAGTAGTTGACTAATTGCTACCTATTTATTCTGTCAAAATTAGTGAATTTTAGTTTGTGTGTAATAATAAAAGGAATTTAAATGTTTGTTTCTTCACAAAGAACTTATATTTCTCTAGTCGTACAAGATGTTAATAATAGTGAAAATTGTTTGGGGATTCTTTTCATACACCTTCAGAAATTTCTCAAGAATTAAGGTCAGATGGAACCTTCCTTATTACTTTTGATATTCATTAGAATACTAAATAAGTTATTTTTCAAAGAAAATTATTACTTTAAAGAACAGTATCTGCTTGATAAATATTAAGATATTAATACTAGTAGAGGCCCATGAAGAATTTACAAAAAGGAAGGGACTGAACTTAGTTCTTTAGACATCACATTCCTCATATGTAGTTATTAAAGAATATAAAATGAAACAAAAAATGAATTTAAATTAGGTCAAAAGATGAAGATGACTATTAACTCATTATCCGTGAAATTACAAAGAATTACTTACAGAATATAACAGGACCCCCACTCCCAACATCTGTAAAAGGATACCCCTATCTTAGAACAGGGGAAATCCCCCTAGAATCCTGTAAATTTCCACAGTGCACTGGGGCTTCCCTTCTGGTATAAAGGTTGAGGTAGCAGAAAGCAAGAGTGATATCCATCATGTTAATACAAATATAATAAAGGACTATTTTTAGAAATAAAAACCACAGTTCTTTCTCCTCCTCTTTCTTCTCCTCAAGTCAGTTTACATCAGATTAATACTTTCTAATTTCTACTGAGATAATCCAGTTGGGTCAGTGATTGAGAGTGAAGAAATGCAGTAAGACCCTAGAAGAATCCACTGAAGTATGAAGCTTTGTTGTAATAAACTTTAAATATTTCCAAGCTAGTAACCAGCTTTGTTAATATAATGTCTTGAGATTTATCCTCTCACTCCCCAGATAATCCAATGAGAAAGCCTGATGGCTCTGGGGACCGAAGTGAGGCTGAGTGAGGGTAGGAAACATGAGAAGGGTAGTTCATGGAACGATAGGTCAGCACCCACAGAGGCCAAGTGGTTACAAACATGGGCTCAAGAGTTAGGCTGTCTGGGTTCAAACTCTCTTGCCTTTGGCAATTTAGTTGACCTTTCTGTGAGTTTCCTTATTTGTAAAATGGAGCTAATAAAGACCACCTAGTGTAGTTGTTTGAGGATTACATTTTTTATATTTGTATTTATAAAATATTTAGAACAGTGCTTGGCATATGATAAGTGCTCCAAATGTGATAGGACAGTCGAAACCATGCTCTGGGCTTTGGGATAACTCCTTGGTTTGGCGTAGATAATCTTGGTGCTTTCTTGAACTAAGGAGAGAATTACTGAAATGCCTTTTTCCAGGTCAATGTATTTGGAAGTTCCCACACAGTACCTTGGGTGTCTGTATACACACAGATACCTACATTAGAAAAAAAAAAAAAAAAAATCTTAAAAACCAACAGATATATGTCTATCTTTCCCATTAGCCATATATTTTTACCCTGACAATGCCTTTGGAGTTACTATCTAGAAAAATGATTTTATCTGATAATCAGACATCTGATATCTGATAATGATTTTATCCGATGACTTTATTCATTGTGTCATAAACTTTGAATCTAGATTATCCTTCAAGTGTGCGTCCAGCAAAATTATTTTTATTTCATAAAACCCATTGGAGAGTCTTAGCTTTAATTGTTCCATGAATCACTGGAGTCACAGGGATTTTTGCACATGAGGTGTCTTTGATCTCATTTTAGTTTAGTGTTTCCACATGTGTTTCTGAATAGTAAGGAGTTCCAGAGTGGTGTGTCCAAGTTCCCTAAGCATCCCTCAGAGGGCTTATAACTATTTAAATCCCAAGCCCACCTGAGAGTTAAAGTTGTGAATTAACCAAATCAATCAATATGGTGGTTTTCATGTTAGAGATCAAAGAAGATTAGGCAGAAATTGTCAAAAAGCAATTTCACCACTGACAAAGTTGATCACCTTCTGACTCCTCAGAGAAATGGGAAGTATCCATCACTCACATATAAGACCTCCTGACCGCTGATCTGGGATTGATTGATGGATGGATTGATGATTTTTAAATTGGGCTCAATCTGTAGGCTAACAGTTTTTCAGTTTTAGCCAGAATCTAAGGGAAAATGATATGGATAAAATTTTAAGAAGGGAAATTGAAAATAACCTATGCTTTAAAGGCTAGAAAGTATTTTTTTAAAATTAAGGTTGAAAATAACTTTTAAATCTTTCTGATCCCCCCCCCAAAAAAAAATCTTTCTGATCCAAGTTTATTTTTTGTTCTTGGTTTGTCTCTCTCTCTCTCTTTTTTTTGAAGATTTATTTATGTATTTATTTATTTTAGAGAGCATGAGCGTGAGCGGGGGGAGGGGCAAAGGGAGAGGGGAAGCAGACTCCCCACTGAGAGGGGAGCCTTACATGGGGACTCGATCTCAAGACCCTGAGATCACCACCTGAGCCGAAACCAAGAGTTGGATGCTTAACCGACTGAGCCACTCAGGCGCGCCCCCTGGTTTGTGTCTCTTAAGCAAAAAATTGTATGACTATTTTTATAAATCGTGTATCAGGTAGCTTTGTTCAGCCCCTCAAATACTTTTTGAAGTAAGCAAGTCATAAATGAATAATTAACTATAATAATAACCATAAAACTATATATAATAAGAAACAAATTCTAACAATAATAAATGAATTAATGGTTTTCTTAAAAAGCTCTGGAATATATAGTCTTTACTCAACACTCAACATTCAGAAAAATGGCCACTTGCTGCCATTTGAGGAAGTGTTTTCAGGGCCTTCCTAGGGCCAGACTTCGCTCAACACACACTTTGTAAAGGTCATGTCACCATTTGCTGTGCTGGGCACAGAGGGTAATAGAGACAAGGGAGGCATGCTGTGCCCTGGAGCAGTGAGAACTGGTCTCTGATGAGCACAGCTGTTCCCATAACATTTATGAAACAAACTAACAGAGGTCTTGTTTGGGTATCTTTCTAGGTATAAGAAAAAACTTAAGATAAAAAAGAAAATACCACTGAACACCATGTGGACTGCCAACTGTATGGACAGAGTGGAGGATGCCAACATCTGTGCTGGGAGGTCCTTTATCCTGGGCTGGCCCACGGTGACCTTTGTGGCCACCTTCGGGTAAGACCGACCGTTTGGTCTTGTATTTACATGGGATAAAAAGAAAAACATTTTAATCTGACTATATGTCAAGCCAGTGACTCCCTTTTTGACTTCCCATAATGACACTCATTTGCCTTGTACTTCCCCCCAAAAGGTATGTACACATGGGAGCAAGTAGATAACATAGAGTGGGAACTATTGGAGTAATTTCTTTTGGTTTTGATCAGTGGTTTTTCCCATGGGCTCTAGGAGCCACTTGAGGAATTGGGTGTTTTAGGCATATGGAAGGAGAATCAAGAGAGTGAGGTTCTAGAACCCCTCTCCAATATCCTGCCCCCTAATTCCCAGGGGGTATGTGTGTTTCTAAATCACTGGCATATTTTTCTTGAGCAAGTACTATTAAAGAGTCCAATTAAATTTGAAAAATTGCTCTTATACTCCCAAGGTCATTCCTTTAAAAATAGTATGGAATTATACAAATAAATTAATCATGTCATTGAATATGAGGTTGCCTGAATTGCTGTGTACTGATTATCTTAGTTGGTGTCTCTAGAGAGGTGGCCATCTAAAACAAAAGTATGATTGCATTGAGTAGAGGTTAGTTGTGCAAGACACATTCTTAGGCTGACACGAGGATGGGGAATGTGACTCTCTACCCCGGACATCCTGAGCAGACACTCCTGAGTTTACAGGGGTGGTGCAACACTTACATCTGCTGTTTGAAACAACCACGCCCCAAGTCTCATTCTTGTTTTGCACAATGAGTGTTCATCACATGCACTTAACACCCTTCTTTCTTCTCCTCACCCCACTCCACCAAAATGTCCCACGTCATCACAAAGGGAAGACAACGAAAATGTTTACAAGTTGTTAATTTATGAAGCCCTATAATGCAGCGTTGACTTAAGGAGAAATTTTCAAAGCTTATTGGGAAGAAATATGTATTTATATGCTCTCCGCATGTCTTCTTTTCCACGACGTATTTCTGTAAAGATTCTCAGTTCCTCTTGCTTCCTGTCTTCTCCATGTTGCAAATGGAAGGAAACAGTTTCAATTGGGAATGTATAAAGTCTTTGACAGGGGAGTTTCCAAGAGACTTTTTTTCCCTAACAAGGAGGAAAATGGGGAAGCCAGGCTTATACATGCTATATTAGTTAAAAAGCTGTGTAAACATATAGAAGGCATTTATAACAATTCCTGGCACCTAGTGCTTTTGCTATTTGTGATTATTACTGTTCTGCAGATCAGCATGGCTAACTAGAAGCTGTGTCCATGCGCATAGGCAGGCTGGGACGCTAAGTGGGCGTTCCATTTTCCAGATGGGACAAATCCTGAAACAGCGATGGAGGGGTTGGGGAGCAGTGTTGCTGGGAGGAGTATAAAATGTGGCAGCCGCTGTGGACAGTTTGATGGTTCCTCAGTAAGTCAAACAGAATTACTATACGACCCAGCAATGCCACCCCCAGATAGATACCCAAGAGAAACATAGGTCCACACAAAAATTGATACACAAACGTTCATAGCAGCATTGTCGACAATAGCCAACAAACAAACAAACAAAAGTAGAAACAACCCAAGTGTTTATCAACAAATACACAAAATATGGTACAGGAGCTAGAAACAGGAAGGAAGGAAGAGTGACTGCTTCGTGGACACAGGTTTGCTTTTGGGTGAAAAAATGTTCCAGAACTAAACAGTCACGGTAGTTGCACAAAACTGTGAATGTACTAAAGGTCACTAATGGTCAATTTTATTTTGTGTAGTTTACCACGGTAAAAAAACGCTAGTAAGTGGTAAGGCCATGTATGCATGAGGCTTAAAACATTCGCAACTTTGGGTATTAAATGCTGTGAAAACTTTAGTTGAGAAAAGACTAACCTTTAGTAGTTTAGCACTAGCTGGATTGATCTTGCTCAGAGGATCACAGTAACGAAGAATGTTTTCTAGAAACTAATTTAACACATTCCAATCTGCTATGTGTATAAAGAAATAAAAATATTACAGGTGTTTCTTCCTAAAAAGCTATTCTTGTTTCTGGGCCAAGATAGTTCCATCCAAATGCCAAATTCCTTAAGTATGATTTAATTTGAATAATAATGTTCTTTATATCTGAATAGCACTTGCAGCTGCAGGAACACTCGGGGTATAATTAACCCTTTTCCAGTTCTGGAAACTGAAGATCAGCGCAGTTAAGCAAAGTGCCCATGATCACATAGCTTGCATCACATAGTTACAATTAAGTGTTCAGATTCAAAACCAACTTTTCTCCCACTTTAGGATCTACTTCCCATTGCTTTAATACGCTCATAAAAGAGTGGGGTCCCTCCAAAGCGCAACTATGAGGACAGTATGATATTAACACATGCATCCACATCCTTAACAACTGGCTGCTGCTATTTTTTTCTGGAATGGTGATCTTATTTTGCTAGTATAAGTATTGTATGTATCTTAATTTTTTCTTCCCATTTTTTTTAAATTGCAGTTCTTCGGAACAAAAGGAAAAATGGCATTCTTTCCTTCAAAGGTATCTTGTCACTATACATATTATACATCTTTAACCCATGAGAAAAGAATAAATCTCTTCAAAGCAGTGCCCCCACACACTATGCTTCCCCTACTTAGTAGAAATTGTTAGACTATCCTCAAATAATTTCTTATTTAGATGTACCCTGGCTGCTACTGCAAATAATCTGCTCTTATTTACATGCACATATTGCTTATTTTTGATGAAATTCTGGTTATCACTCTCATCTTCCCCTTCTCTCAGACCTAATGATTGGAGCTAACATTATTCTCAAAAGATACATATTAAATTTTCTTAAGTGCAATTTACTCTCCTGAGTGATGCTCAAAGCACCTTCTCATTCCTACCCTTGAAGGTGCTGGGCCCTCCAGTCTAGGCAGGAAAGCTTTGATGACTGGATCTGCTACTCACATCTTACATGACAAGAGCAACCTGTTGTTTTCTGAGTCATGTCTTATTTTCCTGAAATAGTTTTGCATGTTTTCTTCCAACCCATAATTTGATGTTGCTGAGTTTATTTACATGCATTTAAAAATAACAGAGTATGTTGAAAATTTTAGCCACATAGATCAATTTGAAAGTAAGCTAATAGCTAATTCATCCTACTCTATTTGGGGTTATTATTGAATTTGATTAGGTACATCAATCTGGCCAAAGAGAAGGACCAGCCCAAAAGCATTCCTCTCAGAATCTTCACTGAGGACATCAAGAACTGTGCCTGTGTAAGTGTTTTTAAGACCAAAAATTAAATTCCATGTTCCTGATTCAGATAGAATGAAAGAGATGGAGATGGAGATGGAGATAGAGAGAGGGAGGGAGGGAGAGATGGGGAGGTAGGAAGGAGAGAGCAAGAGATAAGAAGAGAGAGAGTATTTGGAAAAGTACCATGTGGGAAAATGTATTTTCCTGTCTACACGTGTCTTTGTATACATAAAGAGTGAATCCTAGGTAATATGAAGCGAGAGGAATCCATGCCACAGTACTTAAGCATGGAAAGAATATTGCATGTTAAATATCCATAATATTTCCCTGGCTCTTTCTAATAGCAACAACACTGGCTTGTAATAAGGTGATTTTCACATGCAGGTATTTCCTACTAGAAGTAAACATTTTTTCCCAATGGTTACTACTTATGTACAGAATGGTTTGGATTGTTTCCACAGTTCTCCACCCTCCCCCCATTGACGCTTTATTTGGTATAACTGTAAACTCACAGAAAAGTTGTAGGTATAAAAATAAAACAAAAAACACCCCATGCACCCTTTACCTAGATTCAGCTATTAGTAACATTTTACTCCACTTGCTTTATCATTTATTTTCTTTCTCTGTCCCTATTATGTGTATGTTATACTTATTTTTGAGGGTCATACAAATGCCATGGCCCTTTATCCTTAAACCTAGGTATTTCCCAGGAATAAAGATATCCTCTTATATCACCATCACACAGTTATCACCTTTAGTAAATTTAACATCGGTGTAATACTTTACTCTGCCTTCCATGTTCCCGTTTTGTCAGTTGACCTCAATAATGTCTCCTTTCCAGTACAGGATCTACTCAAGGGTCAGGTATTTCACTTAGTAGTTATATCAACTGCAGAGGGGTTTTGAAAGGTCTTTTGATCCAAGGAATATCAGGGTTGAATTGAGCTCAGAGGGATGACACTTTTAAGGGATCAGCATATTTCTATCTCATTTTCTTTTGGCTGTTGGGGGAAAATAAATCAAACCAGTTGCCCATTCTTGGTATAAAATTTGATTTCTGAAATTGTAGTGCAGTAGCCAAGACATTTGCAATGATGAACAAGATACTTTGGGTATCTTTAAGTGACATTTTTTTTTTCCCTGTTATACTTTACAGTAGCTCTAGGTCACACAAAATAGTATTTGAAGGTGGAAAAAGTGGTAGTTATTCCTGGCCAAAGCAAAAGCCATGCAAATATTTTGATTGGTTTCTAAGCACCAGGTAGATGCATTGCATGAAGGAGATAAGGCCAGAGGGTTCTCTAGCAGCAGAGCACACTCTTGTCTCTGCCTGCTTTGATTTCAGCTGTGGCAGTGGGTTACACTCAGAATTTTCCATGGAAAATTACCTTGAAATCTTTAAAAATCAACTTTATTTATGTATAATTTACACAAAATAAGCATTTCTAATGTTCTTCACTTGTTCCTGAACATCCAAGTTTCCCTCTAACACTGTTTTCATTTCATCCTAGAGAGATGATCCTTAGCATTTCTTGTGCAGACCTGGTGCAAACAGATTTTCTTAATTTCTCTTATCTGAATATGGCTTTATTTCACACTCACTCTTCAAGGATATTTTGAGGGATGTAGAATTTTGTTCGCAAACTTTTTCCTTTCAGCTCTTTAAAGATGTTCCACTGTCTTTTTGTCTTTGTGCTTTCTGATGAGTAGTCTGTGATCAATCAAACATTAATCCCCTGTAGGTGATTTGTCATTTTTCTCTAGCTGCTTTCAAGAGTTTCTCTTTATTTTTGGTTTTTAGCAGTGTGGCTATGAAGTATCAAAGCATGGTTTTCTTTGAATCTGTCCTATTTGGCATATTCTGAACTTCTTGAATTTATAAATTTAATTTCACCAAATTTGGGAAATTTTAATCATGATTACCTCAAATATTTTTTTCCCCATTTTCTCTCTCCTCTCCTCCTGAGAGTCCAGTTATATGTATATTAGACCCTTTCATATTGTTCATAGATCCCTCAGACTCTTAATTTTTTCAATCTTTTTTTCCCCTTTTCTTCTTCAGACAGGATAATTTCTATTATCTATTTTCAAATCACTGACTTCTTTTTGTCATCTCCATTATGCAATGTAGCCTAGTCAGTAAATTTTTTCTTTAAGATATTTTTCAGATAAAAAATTTCTGTTTTTAAATATTTTTAGTTTCTATGCTAAGATGCCTCTTTCGTTTATTGTGAGCATATTTTCATTTGTATCATTGAGCATTATTGTAATAGCTGTTTTTGGCTAACAGTCTGAACATCTAGATCATCTATCTCAGGGTTGGCTTCAGCTCTTGAGAATTGATCACATATTCCTTGTTCTTCATATATTAAGTAACACTTTGACTCATATAAAAAAAAAGTAACATTTCTTTTTCTTTTAAATTATTTCAAAAAGCAGCTTATTTTTCTGAAGTCATTTGTTTACAGAGAGCTCTATCTACTGGAATTTATCTGTTTTGGAGAACCTACAACATGCAGGAAAATATACATACATCTCTGGAATTACTATTTTGAACATAGTATGTTCCTTATACCATGAAAACCATTATCTTGCAGACCAGATAAATTAAAAAGTGATTATTAGTATTTCAAAAGAGATTTTTTTTTCTTTAAAAAGATTTCATGGGAGGGATGCCTGGGTGCCTCAGTCAGTTATGCATCTGCCTTCGACTCAGGTTATGATCCCAGGGTCCTGGGATGGAGTCTTGCATCAGGCTCCCTGCTCAGAGGGGAGCCTGCTTCTCCCTCTGCCTTCTCTGCCTGTGGCTCCCCCTGCTTGTGCTCTCTCTCTGACAAATAAATAAACAAAAATCTTAAAAAAAAAAAAAATTTTTGTGGGAAACTTTTTAAGTTGTACTGAAAGGCTTTCAGACATCTTAAAAAAAATAGCAGAGCCATTACTTCTAACTAAATTTCAAGCTAAGACCCAGTCTTGAATCCTCTAGACAATTTAACATAGGAAGCCCCTCCTAGACAATTTAACATAGGATATCCTTGAGTTTGGGTGCTCTGAGTCCTACTGCTAGGTTCTGAACACTTTTTTTTATAATCCTTAAAGCTCAAGTAGTTTGAAATCAATGAACACTTTTGTTTATAAAAGTTCGATTATCAAGCAACTTTTGGGCCATCTGTCATATCAAGCAATTGCATTTCAATTCATAAGAAGAAAAATACAATGAAAGAACAAGTTTCTTTTAACTTTGTTTTTAATATTTTTAAGGACTGTGAGTGTCCACTTCTGTTGCTTGTCTTCTTCATGCACTGTTTCTCAAAGAACACAGGCCTCATTGCCTAATAATGTTATAAAAAGTGTATGCGTGGTTGGTTACATATTGTCCTATTTTAAAATGTCTTTTGGAATTCGGGTACTTTTATCGATATCATCTCAGATTCCTATCCATCCCTTTCAGATAATTTTCAATAACTGTTTTCCTTGTTGTATGGAGCAGTTTCTCAATATAAGGTGTGATAGAGAGATATTATAAGTAACTACTCACTGTCAGAGTTGTGAATGGAATATAAACTTCTAAAATTTTCAGTCTCATTTCCTAGACTCATTGGTTTTATTTGTCTCAACAGATTTCAACAATGGAAATCTTAGTAACCATGATGACACAAAGAAAGTATTGACTAAATAGTAGTTTTTTTTTTTTTTTTTAAATGTCTGTCACAGACGGTTCTTATTCTGATTTTGCTGAAACTGAGTATGTAATTGCGAAGAGAGAAAAGTATCTAGCTCCTCCTTTTTAAACTATCTCCCCTCTCTATTTTGGGAATAGCCTTATGGAGCTGAGGGTCAGTTCATGTCCCCTCGTGGAATTCTGTTTTTCTCTTTCTTGCTTAAGCTGCTATATTTTGTAAGCCACAAATCCTTGAAGGGAAATATATGTTTCACTGAAATGTTTCCTACTAGCTTCATGTTATGTAAAGAAATGAAAATATTGTAATCAAGGGTGTGTGCTCTACATATGCTTTACTTTGTCATTAACTGAAAACAAGCTTTGCCTTTAGAGTATGGATAATAATTTGACAATAATTATTTGGTCACCTGCTTTAAATTTTTAAAAATTTATAGCAATTTTTCTCATTTCTTTTTTACAGTCTGTAACTGTAACAGTAACAAATTCAGACACAGTGAATGACATTATCAACATGTCACTACCAATGCTAGGAATAACTGTAAGTTCCCTTGCAAACTATTTTTAATTTAAAAACCATCTTTGACTTTTGAGATTTGTGTGTGTGTGTGTTGTGTACCTCCCGTTATAAGACAGCTGATTATTATACATATCATAGTCATATTTTGTCCCCCAGATTTAGAAATTGAAGGCAGCAAAGCTATATTATTAGCCTATACATGGGTGCTCTTCTTGTCTTCCCATTTTAAATTTTCTGCGAATTCAAAATCATAGCATAAAATTGGGCTATAATTTTAGAGTGCTAATAACAACATGCAGTTTATTGTATATATTTTATACACAGACAATAAAATATTTCTAAGTTTCTAAATATTTCCTCCTCTATTGGACTCTTCTGTCTGTGTCTTCATTCCTGATTCCTCCCCATCCCTGTTTACCCTGGTCATCACCCAAGGACTCAATCCCAGTTAGATGAATCCTAAATTATATGTTTTGTTGTACATTTTGACATAAAGACCACATGGCTAGAAGCTACCTCCTCTTGATGCAGTTCCTTGGGATGAGGCGGCTCACACCCCTTATGAACTGGTAAAGAGGACAAGTTCTGAATAAGACCATGATCTGGGGGCAGTTTCGTACATATCACTTTCATCTTGTTTTGGTTTTAACGGCCTGTTCCTTTATGTTTTGATGGTGCTGGTGTGAGTTGATGGATTTTTTTTTTTTTTTTTTTTTTTGATGAAAGACATGGACATATTTGAGGATGAGGTTTTCTAAGGGAAAAGAGAGGGAGAGTGATAGTCAGATGGACAGAACTGAAGGGAGCACTTGTAAAGCACAGCTTCTTATATAAAATCCTCTATAAATGCAAAAATGTCTTGCTATTATGACATGACATAATTACAAGATTCTTCCTTAAATTCTGTCTGACCCAATGGTATAATAAAGCCCCTTAAAAATTCAGGGCAACTGGAATTTAGCATAAGAAATCAATGATTTCTGTACAAACAAATTTTAATAATATATCTGAAATAAAATTGAATTTATATGTACTGAGTAAAGCACATATCTACATTGATTTCTAACCTGTATGATATATATACCCTAAATAGGAATTAAGTCTTAGAAAGAGAGTGAGTGGTTTTAGGGATGAAGTTGAGGAGATTGATTAATGATGAAGCTCATTTTATTTCATGTTTGTGATTTTCCTTTGCATAAAGTGATCAATCTCACCACACAAAGAATTTCTGTTTTAATGAAGAATTGGGGTTATTTGGCTTTATGTATGCCTGATTTAAGGGATTTCAGCATAGCATTTCCAAACCCTACCCTACCTTACTAGCTCTCACGAGTTATTTGCAATACAATTTTGAGCAGATTTAGCTATGTGTGTGTGTCTGTGTGTCTGCGTGTGTCTGTGTGTGTGTCTGTGTCCATACCTATGACCTTTCTTCATAAGGGCAAGACCATGATTCTTAATCAGGAGTCCAGGTCAAGCATAGTACCTATCACCAACAACTCCATGTCAAACATTTTTTGCTTTAGTCTCCTGGAAGACTCTCTAAAATAGTTCAGCGATCTTTATAATTTAGATGTGTTTGTTTCAAGTAGGACTTCCAGGTTTACTGGGCGGTAATTCTGCTGGGAGTAATTGTTTTCTGCATCTGATATGTTGTCTAGGTTAGAGTCCTTGTTCTTTCTCTCCCTGAAGTGGGGCTTGCCTGCACCAAAGCCAGTGGCTGACTTCAGTCCACTATCTCCTCAAGGCCTCTTGGGCGTTTGTCTCCTTTTGCCCAGGGCTGCTGAACTATTGATGCCTTTCAAGTTACTTTGCTCAGGAATAGTCATAGCAGGGTATATGGCTCTCTGGACAATATGCATGTCAGGGCAGGGACATTTGGCGGCAAAAGCCAGCATTATCCAAGGAATCTAGAGACAGTGGAAGGCAGGACTCTGAGATTAGAAGTTTCCTCCTTAGCGAAGGGGCACAACTGTGATTTCTTAGGCCATGGGCCACCCACACCGTGAGGGGCTGATTGTACTGTGGTTTCCTGGCCTTTATCAAAAATGACAAGAACCTGGGACGGTCCACTGGAGGCTATGAGGGAACAAGTTAACAAGTACTGTAGCTACCTCCATGGACCAAATGGCATTTATACTGGCCCCAATTCTTTCTTTCTGGAAACAGAGAAATGCAAAGGAAATGTGTTCTTCAAGTACTGTGAAAGATTTGTTATGATGCATAGTTCTTTTTGTTTCCAAGGGCTCTGAGAAAGACTACCAGCTGTGGGTGAGTGCTGGCAAGGAAGCGTCCCCACACCCACTCACTGGTAAGTGTCAGGAAAAATCTAAGATGGGATTGATTAGGTTCAAAATTGTAACTCTACATCTCAAAGTAATGGTTGTTCTGTCTTCAGCTTAAATACCCTTAAAAGTGAAAATCACATGCAATATTCACTCTCACGTTTATTAAAGAATTACCAGGTGCTTACTTGTTCCCAGGCACTGAGGACATCTCTTCATTCATCAGCTTAAGGTCTAGTTAGGGAGAGAAATGTAAATTTTTCGTTTCTACTTCATTTTACCTGACAAACAGAGCTGTCTTAAAAATTTTTTTGTTTATTGTTTACTTACTTATTTACTCACTTAGGTATGAAAGCATAGAATTGGAATTTCTTTTTCCCATACATTTATTTTTCATATTCCAGTCTTGAATTCCAGTTCCTAACAACTAAATAGCCTCTATTTTGTGAGAATCCGCTAAAATCCAATCATGTCTCTGAATCCAGGTATAGGTATGTATTTAACACCTGCTCTGTGCCCAGAAGTTTTCTCAGCATCATAAAGAGAATGAGATAATCACATTTAAACTCCTCAAGTCTTCACTGACTAAACTACCTGCACTTTGTTGTTTCTCAGGCTTTTTCCATCACTGTTCTTAAGGTTATTGATAAACAGATTACACCTCTCCTAAAATAGTTATTAGCACAAGTTCTCTAAAAAAAAATCTTTGGATTAGCAAAATTGTTCAGTGCTTACCAAAAATAGAAGGATTAAAAAACCAGAGAAAAAAGAGAGGATCTGTAGCAGACCTTGAAGTATAGTAATGTATGGTAATGGTGACAATGATTTCTGCTAGAAATCTTAGAGCATTCCTTCTTACATGCATTTTTCAAAATCTTTTTAATAATCCTGTGAGGCGGGATGCCTGGGTGGCTCAGTTAAGTGTCTGCCTTTGGCTCAGGTCATGATCCCAGGGTCCTGGGCTCCTTGCTCAGTGGGGAGCTGCTTCTCCCTTGGCCTGCCGCTCCCCCTGCTTGTGCTCTCTCTCTCTCTCTGACAAATAAATAAATAAAATCTTAAAAAGAAAATAATCCCGTGAGGCTATTACTCTTTTTCAAGTTATCTAAAGAATATTTTCAAGTGATCTAGAAATCTAAATAACCAATTTCTTTCTACGAAATGTATATTCCCAGTCTTAGAATACAGAGAGTCACCAAGGGCATAGCTGAGGAAAAAAATCCCCCCCACCATTTCATGTTTCATATTAATATTGACATCTCTGTAAAAGTCGGCCAACCACAAAAAGGAAAAAAGTCAAATACTTAAATATATTTATTTTAATAAAGTGCATTAATTTAGGTAAAACAATAGAGATGATAACTTTTTAGACTTTGAGCAGCTTCACACACCAAGGCAGCTCTAAGGAATCCAGAGAGCCTGTCATTCATGATGATCCATTGGCAGCATTCAAAATGCATTTTTTACCAATGCTCTCAATTCTCAATTGCGGATTATCTCCTGGTTATCTTTGTGATTTGGTTGTATTGCTGTCGTAGAAGCTTCTTTTTCCTTAAAAGAGGGAAGTCACTGTGATTCTTGTGAACACATCACTGACACTGCATCTATGACAGATGAGAAGGAACAGCAAAAGCTCCCCAAGTTACATTCAATAATAAATCAGAAACGACAGAAAGAGAACTTCCATTCTGTTCTTAAAAAATGAGATCCATATCCTATAGCACAGGGTCTTTGAGAATTCTATAGAGAGGAAACAATTTAAAGCATACAAGAACAAAACAAATCACTTGGCAGGCAACTCTCACTGACTCTGGGTGCAGTTTTCCACTCTGTAAACATCGTTTTGCACTTTGCTTCTGGGTTCCCAACACTGTGCAGCCTTCCCTCTGATCATCACCTGGCAGGACTCCCCTTGGAGGAAGGGCAGCAGTGGGAGGGAAGTATAAAGCATAAAGGCAACCCATCCCACTGCCCTTGAGTAGCTCTGCCTCTAGAAATTGACAAAAGGAAATGAAAAAAAAATCTGCTCAACTGACATTATGTGAGAGAGAATAGCAATTCTTAATATATATGTTCAATTATTTAAAAAATATTACCCACCAATGCATATTAATATATTTACTCTGATCCTTATAAGTTTGTGTGAGGGCAAGCATTTCAAAGGATGAATGTAAGGCTCAGAGGGGTCAAGTAATTTGCCTAAGATGTGCAGATCTCGTTAGTGTCAAGGCAGAAACTAGAAGGCCTTAAATATTCTCAGATGGAAACACAGCAAAAGTCAGCATTGTGCAATGCACTGATGAATCTTTGTATTCCAAGTAAAGTAACATGCTTTAAATTTTTTTTCTCTTTTTAAAATCTTTTCCTTGGGCACCTGCTTTCTGCAGGGTGTCTCCAACAAGAGCGAATATGATGCTCACTCAGGAGGCACAGAGTGAGTGCCAGAAGCCCCAGGAGAATAGCAGCATATACCAGTGTGATGCATACACTCATGGGAAGGGGGATTTGATCAGAGCCATCACCATCAGCCTGAATCTATATTTTTTCCATATAGGACATAAACATCCCTATGGAATTAAAATGAGCCATCTTCCATCTACCACACTGCTGCCGCAGACACCAGAGGACTCCATCTCTCCTTCCACCCTCCAGGAGTCCCTCCTTCTGGAGCAGGGGTTCGCAGAGATGCAAGGCCGGTTCATCCTGAAGCCCAGGCACCCGGCGCAGAATGAGCAAGGGAGAGGTGAGCCCCTTCCCTTTCTTCAGGTGTCTTCTCTTGGCTCATGTCTCCACTCTTGCCCACAAATTGAGGACACAGAGCTCACTCTCTCTGTGGGGGGTGGGGAGGAACAGTAGAGGCAAGAACCCCAAAACTGCACAGAATCGAGCTTAGAGAAACCCAAAGGTCTTAGGACCCAACTCACTTCGAGGAAGGTTGTGTGCTTGTTTTAATTCTCCTAGGTAGACTGTTAGCTCCTTTCTCTGTATCCCCAGAACACTTTCTACATATAATTATGTGAGTACACATCTGTGTGTCTTCTTAGAGCACAAGCTGTTTGTGGCCTGGAAACAGGTCTTCCCTATTCCAGGGTTTTATCTAGTATCTCAGGCCATCACAGGATGGAATCAAATGACTGCATGGCTTAGACGCACCTGGAATGGAAGAACTCCAGTGGAGTAAAGAGTTATGGAACTGAATTGGATTTATTCTGGGCTTAGGCTGAAGTGGCCTTGGGCTTACAGTTAGAATTCAAGTCTCAATTCTGCCCCCACTTTCCATGTCTGCTTCAGACACAGGTCAAGGCTGGAGCTAGACTGAATGTTTATGGTCAGGGCTTTTTCATCTTCCTTCTTGCTATTTTTTTCCCTACCATTCCAGTATTCTCCCATTGATATTTTTTTCTCTGATGAAAATGTGTTATTCATCTGAGAAGTATTGGGCCAAAATAGAAAGTATTTTATTGTTATGATTGTTATTCTATAAGCACAAAGTTTCAAAAATTTTATTTTTTAATATTCATACCCTAATTCAAGCATTAGGAAACATTAACCCAAATCTTGCCAGGACTGTTTAAGAAAGAATAGGTTTCCATAAAGTTAGCTTGTTTAATCATTCCTATATTTTTCATGGCTATAGCATATATTTTTATTAGTAATAGAGGCAACATGACCTCTAACAGCAAATAATGTACATTATGAAACATCCAGCTAAGCCTGAAAATACCTTGGAGAAAGTATAGGACTCAATGTGTACTTATTTTCTGTATACTCATAGAGTAGCTAGATATATAGCTTTGTACCAAGGGATACAACATTCTTCTTAAGAGCATTCTTCTTATTAAAGCTGAAGAATGGAATATATTTGGGTAGTTTTAGAAATAATAAAACTAGGGGAAGAGTAGGGAACCCAGGTTGCATACAACAACTCAACTTACATATTAACACGTATCTTCAGCAAATGCATACATTTTGATGTACAGGAATCTCCTCCTGGATTTAAGAATGTGTTTGCTTTCTTTCTTCTCTCCTTTTAAAATGGTAGCGGTATCAATTTCAGAGCAGGAAGAAAGAGCCTTAGTTAAGTAAAGTGGTAGCCATCCTTCATGATTGCCTACCTTCTAGAGGTTGCAAAATCAAATAGAGAATGGGAGTGATGTCTGCTTTGGAGGGGGAAGAGACTGATGTCTAGACTGCCTGAGGCCTTCTGAGCAAGGAAATTACTTTTATCAAGGCTGCCACGAGCCATGCCTTGTGCTGAGTAGTACATTACATTTAGTTCAACGAGTTGTAGGCAGCAGCATTTATGTTAAAGTGAAGCAAACCAAAGCTTAAGAATTTTTGAGTAATCTAACTAGGTGGCAGAACCAGGATGCTTCTGGTTCTTAGATCCTGGTCTCTCTGGTCAAGTGCCATGAGTGTTGCCACCCACGTGAGTGGATACGGTGATGCACTCACTACATCCCAGAAAAGCCCAGTGGACAGGTGTTTATGGGTGTTTGGTGAAATGTTGCTCATTTGTTTATCCTTCTACAGCTTGGCTCCTCTGTGGACTTTTAAAGAATTCAGTTATTTAAGCAGATTTTGGAAGCAAATGTTAAGGTATCTTCTAAGGAAAACATTCATAGCTGAGCAGTAGAAACTTTCAACTCAGCTTTTCACTGCAGATCACCTTTTCTTTGTAAAGCTCTTCTTCTGCATTCCTTTGATAGGGAATGTTGGGTAATTCAAAATCATCTCTGGAAATTGGGGATAAATCAGGCATTCATAATCTCTCATTGTTTTTCTTTTTGTATGTTTTCTTTCAAGCCTTGTACTGGTATGGTGTATATACATGTATGTTTGAGTATGTGTGAGGAATTGGGTGCAATTCATTGTGGATTAGACTCTTTTCCGTAAATATCAAACATAATTTACAAAAAAAAAAGTCATCTCTGGGTAGCTTGGTGGGGTATCACAAGAAAACACAGTCACCTGGAATCTTACCACATAGCCAGCATGTAATGACTATTTCCCAAGAACCCTGACTGCAGGGAGTCATCCTTGGGGATGGCCCAGAGCAGAGACACCAGAGGCTGCCTGAGAAGTGGGGTCAGGCGGATCATGTCATGAAAGGCAGATCCTTTTGATCATAGAAAGATGAGCACTCAGGGGCACCTGGGTGGCTCAGTCGTTAAGCGTCTGCCTTCAGCTCAGGTCATGATCCCAGGGTCCTGGGATCTAGCCCTGCATCGGGCTCCCTGCTCAGTGGGAGTCTGCTTCTCCCTCTCCCAATCCCCCCCTGCTTGTGTTCCCTCTCTCGTTGTCTCTCTCTGCCAAATAAATAAATAAAATCTTAAAAAAAAAAAAAAAAGTTGAGCACTCAGAAAGCCAAAGAGGAAACTTAAGACTGGAAGGAGACTCACTGTGAAAGCAGATGATTAACAAACTCAGCTTGATTTGAATACCAGATCTTTTGAGCTTTTAAAATCAGATCTGACGCCGGATGAATCCACTAATCATACTTACCAATAGGAAACAAACAACAAGTTAAGTGCCTCATGATAAAGCACAACGGGCAGTAGATGGGATTGAAAGCATTGACACTAAGTCTGATCAAGTCTCTAGGTTTAACCATCAGTTTGCAGGATCTGGGGAACAACTGTTAACACCATAAGAATGCTATTGGCCAATTTCAAAACATGGAAAATTCTACACAAAAAATGCCTCAGATTCCCTCTTCTAGCCATTGCAGTGAATGTACCGTAGAATGGGAATGGTGAAAATAAGGTTAAGCGGGATGGCTGGGTGGCTCAGTTGTTAAGCGTCTCCCTTGGGCTCAGGTCATGATCCCTGTGTCCTGGGATTGAGCCCTGCATTAGGCTCCATGCTGGGTGGGAAGCCTACTTTTCCCTCTCCCGCTCCCCCTGCTTGTGTTCCATCTCTCACTGGCTCTCTATCAAAAAATAAATAAAATCTTTAGAAAAAAAAAGAAAAGAAGGTTAAGCGAATAAAACAACAACTACTACTACTAATCTCACTTCTTCCTTAGATTACAGGCAGAAGACAGTTAAAAGCGGTTTTTTCAGAGACTGGGCCTGTTGTCTGGGCTCCAGCACTAGCCAGGACAGCCAGTGCACAACCCCACCTTCTTCAAAGCCAGGACAGCTCTTTGGAGTTTCCCTCATGGATGTGTGTAATAAAGACAACTTGCCCTTCCCAATCCTGGTAGGTCATCTCCTTTTGGTCTTCTATAGCCCTTCTGAGGAGGGGACACTCTGAGAGGCCACGTGTCCTCATCCAAATCTATTCCCAAATGGAGAAGTCATTAGACAGCCCCTGGCTTTGGCTGAGAAGCTCTGTTACTGTTATTTCAAAGAATAGAATCTGATTTAGGTCCTGCAGAGTCATGAGGCAAATACAACAGGAAAAGACATTCTCCATTCCACTTGGGTCTTGTTTCCACAAAGACAGGCGGAGGCTTGTTCAGATCAGTCAAAATGGACTCTGTGTATGTGAGTCTCTGAGAGTCCACCTCATCTTCACACTCTCCTCTCATTGTCTTCCTGAACTCACAGGAGTCTCAAGTCTCCTTCAGCAGAGTCTACTCAGTCTAACAACTGTAAACATCTGACACGAGCATAGACTCATCCTCTGGCAAATAGGAAACTATCAATCCTAACAGAATATGTCAAATGAAAGCCACAGAGTTTGGCCTGTGTTATCTCAAACTGCTCTAGTGAATTGTCAGTGTGGACATTCACTGAGTATTCGGTGTCTCTGCAAGCATTGTACGGGATGTAGGGAACGTTCTGCTAGCTATGAAGAAATGAATCATCTTAGCTAGCATGTTACCTGCTAGCTACTACCCCAGGTCCTTGCATCACAGCAAATTTAGAGGATAGCTAGGATTATCATCCTCCACACTTCTTAAACGAATCGGAAAAGCCTCAGTACAGTATGTATGTGCCCCAGCTCACACAATAGATAAGTAGCATAATAGACTTCAGATCCATTTTATTCCCTGAGTCCAGCCCCTATTAAGATTCTACACAGCAGGGAGAGGACATGAAGATACAGCAAAAGACAATGAAAGACTCATGAGAAGGGAGGGTAATCAGAGAAAGAGAAGAGAGTTTCTGAGCCTGACTTTAAAAGAGGGAAAGAAATAGAACAAGTAGGAATGGAGTATACACTCACTTAAAGAGAAATAAACAAATGGGAAATGTGTATTTCCTAAATAGACTTCCATACTTGGGGGAGAGCATCTATGTAAGGGAATAATGAGAAAAGAATGGTAAAGTAGGAAACAGACGGTGATTGTGCAAAGGCCTTGAAGCAGAGAAGTTGATTTAAGAGTGGAAACTCAATGGAAAGGAAAATCTGCTTAAAAGAAGTGTTTAAAATGTTTCAGTGTATGACTGTAAAATGGATATATGGGTAGAAAGTATATAGAGAGACACTGAAAAAAAAAACAATCTAAATTGACTTTAGTCCTTTCAGCTCAAAAACAGTGTACCATTGCATTCCCCTCCTCTTTCAAAACGGAGGCAAGCTTGAGCTCTGCGTTTGGGGTATGAGATGCGATATAATTTTCTTTTCTTCCTACAGGATATGCTTTCCTTTATTAATCAAAAAGGGTCACTCACAGAATGCATCTTCAGCAAATCACCCAATATAAAATCAACCAGGGTCCTAAAGGAGAAACTAAATTCTGGGGTCAAAGTGGACCTGTACAGCGAATCTGCTCATGTGGTCGCATCCGTCTTAAAGGTAGGGAAGGTTCTAGCATTATCCACACATGAGTAACTGAAGCTATGATTGGTGTCTTTCATCATGACTGCTCAAGAACCATAATGGGCATAATAGATTAAGAACCTGACAAGCTGAAAAACGCTTGACAAAATCAAAATTTAAGGAAGCTACTTTAGGAGTTAAAAGCCCCATATGTTAAATATTCTTTCTGTTTTCACCACACACCGCCTACCCTGCCTTCACTCCTGAAGTCGCCATGCAAAATACTAATACTGAAATGACTACTAGTCATGATAATAAATTTCAAAATACGCACTGACACATACACACTGTTTACCCATGCAAACATTCTCACCACCCTCCTAGTGAAGGCAAAGTTTCCAAAAGAAATAGAACAGGGAAAGAATTTAATCCATCCACCTTGGCACTTATGAACAGCTCTGAACAACCCTATGTTAACGTAGTAATGACTACAGTCTTAGAATCTCAGTCACATTTGGTTTTCCCTTGTCCCCCATTAATGTTTGAAGATGTGATCAATAGCAAAGTCCAGAAATGACTTAGGTAACCACTCCTACACTGGGGCTCTAGTGATATCCAGTAGTAATATACATATAGAAGAATGCTGATACATTACGTAGCAAGATGAGTGTTGCCCTCTGTAAGGTGAGCACATGGAATCGATTTTCTAGCAAGAGTTAGGAGGTTCCGGGCGCCTGGGTGGCTCAGTTGGTTAAGCGACTGCCTTCGGCTCAGGTCATGATCCCGGAGTCCTGGGATCGAGTCCCACATCGGGCTCCCGGCTCAGCAGGGAGCCTGATTCTCCCTCTGACCCTATCCCATCTCATGCTGTTTCTCTCTCTCTCTCTCTCTTAAATAAATAAATAAATAAAATCTTTAAAAAAAAATCATTAAAAAAAAAAAAGAGTTAGGAGGTTCCTTCCTGATTCGGTGTTATAAGCACCGACTAGGAAGAAGGTATGCACATGTGGGTATAGTGCTTAGACATTTCTAAAGTTTTCTCTTCCTGAAGTTGATGGATCTTGGTGGAGAAACAGACTCTGCAACTTTGGCCTTGATAATATCATGTCAAAAAACTGGGAATGGACCTAATCTAGAAATGAATCTATCCTCAGGACCTCAGTGAGTCTACTATTAGACTCTCGACTTTTAGACAGTTAAGAAAAGGAAGAATGAAGGAATTATGAGAGTAGTTTTCTTCCAGGGAGCACACCTACCCCGAGTGAGAAGACCTAGTTCTTTCCTAATATGTGTGCAAGAGCCCACCTGTTTCTGTTTCGATTGTTTCAGGCCTTTTCTTGCTAGAGTTAAGAGCTAGCACTGTGTCTAAAACAAGCAACATGGGTAAGCGTATTTCTGTCCAAGAAGCTAATAGGATTTAGGATGGTCTATAGCCAGACCCTGTCAGTTTGTGGTACTTTGCAAAAAAAGCACACAAAGAAAATAAGTTCCAGATGATAGAAGGGAGCTTTATCTTCATTTCTTCCACAGCCTAAGCTCTGCTTTAATGCCTCTAAGATTTATGGGGAGAATATCCAAGCACCTGATGCTGCGTGTGCAAGTCAATGGAGAGTCAGAGCCAACCTCCGTGTGGGTCCCAGTTTGGGTATCTGTGAAGGAAGTGGGGGCTGAACTGAATTTTTTAACTACATATTTTCTCTGGAATATTTCCAATACATATTTTCTGTAATATATATACATATTTATTTTTATCTCCACAAGGATTTCCTAAGAAATATCCCAGGAAGTTTATTTTTGTCTGATCTCTATGACAAATGGCTCGGTGTTATTGATCAAGGGAACGAAGAGGAGAAGATGACTGCAGCGCGGAGGTAATGATGCAATAATTACTCTACTCTGGTCATATCTCCAAAATACAGCCAACATACTATTAGGAAAACATTGGCTTACGTTTTGCAGCTTTGCCCACTATAATCATGACCAACGCCAAAGACTTTCAATTCTTCACACCCATGGGGGTCAGCTTCAGAATAGAGGCACGCTTTAGGGCTATTATTGTTCTTCTCCTGATCTTATTAATGTGGACTCCTTGGCCGTTTGACACCTTCTGGATCCATGAAACTTGTAGACGAAATTCCCTGGTTCAAGACACATGCAAGAGCATCACCTGCCAGGGCTATGACCTTAAAAGTCTGTCAAACATTTAACTAACCAGAGAAGTGTTTATCTGGCTCAGGAACTAAATTCAGTGCAACAATTTTGTCTACATTCATGCCTGGAACTCTGCTAGAGAGGGGTTGTGTGCTAGATATACAAGGATGTATCCTTTTCCCTGTCTCTGTTTTTCCAACCTCCTAAGTGGAATCATTTACCTAATTTAAAGTGTGTTTTTCTGACCCTAGGCTTTTAGCCCAGCTGCCAAGAGCAAATATTGTTCTCTTGCGATACCTTTTTGGAGTGCTATACAACATTGAGAAACATTCCTCATCCAATCAGATGACAGCTTATAATTTATCCGTTTGTATAACCCCAAGCGTTCTTTACCCACCTGATTCCGGCACCTTGGAATTGGAAGACAACTTGATAAAAAAGGTAATGAGAGCTCTCATTTTTGTCGCCCAAGGGGTAGAATCCCTACTTTGAACCGGACATGTGCAGTAGTAACTCTGACGGATGGAACTTTGTGAAGTGCACATTTTCATTAGGCCCCTGTGGAGTGGCAGAGTTCTTTATCCTACTCTGGCAGGGTCTGGGAAGGGGTGTCGTTAAACGGGAAACTCGGAGCAGTCGAGTCACTTCTTCACCCTCCAGGAGACTAAACACTAGAGTGACTAAACGAGAGAGAGAAGAGTCGTGTGATACGATAGGAAAGAACCTGGGCTTTGGAGCTTCACCAGTCAAGGTTCAACTCTCAGCCTAATCCCTGAGGGACTCGTAACCTTGGGCAAAGCCATGGTTTCCTCACTACACAATGGCGACAACAGCCAGCTCCTCCGGTCATCACTGGCACATCCTGGGTGGCTTGGGCAATATGAGCCCCCATGCCTCCAAACACATTGGCCTTCCTCTGCCAATTGTGGCTCATCTAGAAAAGTACTCAGCTGCTATTTCACCTCTGCTACGTCATTTGGAAACTAGCAAGAGATTCCAGAATATCCTAATAAGATGACAGGTCTTCCCCAAGCTCACACAGAGAGAGCCAGCATGAGGCAAAGCAATGCGTGAGAAGGGACTGAAGTTAGACAGACAGATACATTTTCTCTCCAGCTGTGTGGGTTTTCCCTCACAACCCCACCAAAATCTCTGCTTCCCAACTTTAAGATACTTCTTCATTTAAGAAATGGTTTTCTTAAGTTTTTGTTCATACTTTATAAAGTTTCATAAGATGTTATACATCAGTTGCAGCTCAATAAAACTGGAAACAAAATTTAAAAGCAAAAAATAAGTAAACTTTAATAAGGTAGGCTACTTTGAAAATTATCCTTGTTTTATTTATATTTTGATATGTATTTATTTGAGAGAGGGAAAGAGAGAGCGTGAGCGGGGCAGGGGCAGAAGAAGAGGGAGAGGGAGAAGCCCAAGCCCATTCCCCGCTGAGCACGGAGCCCAAAGTTGGCTCCATGTGGGGCTGGATCTCACCATCATGAGATAGTGATCTGAGCCAGAATCAAGAGTCAGATGCTCAACTGAGGGGCCCCAAAAATTATCCTAGGCTTAATGATGTAACCACTGATACCAAAATGTTGGCTATTAAACTAGGCCACATACTAAAACTTTAGCCTACTGATTAGCAGTATTTTAAAATGTGTACCCAAAGTACACGGAAAAGTATCACTCTTCCTAAGTTATTTCTTAGAGAATTCTGGTCTCTGTTTTTTATTTTATTATTTTTTTTAAGATTATATTTATTTTCTTGACAGAGGCAGACACAGCGAGAGAGGGAACACAAGCAGGGGGAGTGGGAGAGGGAGAATCAGGCTTCCCACTGAGCAGGGAGCCTGATATAGGGCTGATCGCATCACCCTGGGATCATGAGCTGAGCTGAAGGCAGACGCTTGACCGATTGAGCCACCCAGGCGCTCCTGATCTCTATGTATTTTTATCAGTTCTGAATTTTTCTGGGAAATCTTTCACATTCTTTCTTAGATCCAAGGTCTATATACATAATGTGATTTATAACTATGCCCTATGGAAAAGAGCACCCCATTCTTGTCTTTTTGTGTTACAGATTTCTCTTGTACAATTTCTCATTGAAAATTGCCTTAAAATATTTGGAGAAGACATCACTTCCCTCTTGGGAGAGAACTCAATGAGTCGTGGTAACAGCGAGCAGGCTGCAGGTACCGGGAATAATTTTATTGGCTTTAGTGAGAAGCAGACAGCAAGGCTGCCAGGGGTCATGGGAGATGCTTAGACAGAGCTGTTCTGGAGCCCAGAGCATCGCCAGGGCAAGGATTTCCATGGGCTCCTTCTTCCGAAGGCTGGCTCACAGGTCAAGGGAGGTTCCACACTGTTGTGAGACCAAAGAAAGGATAAGATGAGGTCTCTGACTTCAAGAAGTTTCTAGTGTAGATCATAACAGAATTAGGACTCATCATGGTATGCCACAGTGTTTGGGAACTTTTTCTCACAAAATTTAAATGGGTGCTATATATATATCTATGTAGTTATATATATTACATAATTATATACTGATACTATATAAATATATAAACATAATGTATATATTTATGTATATTACATGTGCGCTGGTTGAAGCCAGAGAAAGGGGCCTTTCTTCCCCTCCCTCCTCTTTTGGCTCAGGGGCTCTTGAGGCACCACAGGATTCCAGTGCCCTTTGAAATGGGTTGAAAAGAATTGGCATCTTTGAGAAAAAAGAACTTGACTTGATGTCAAACAACCTCTCCAGAGTGTAAATTCCTGTACCCCCATTTACCAGCTATATTATCTTTGGCCCGTTATAGCAGCTAAGCATCAGTTTATTCATCTCTAAAATGTGGATAAAAATAATGTCTAAATCTTAGAATTGTGGTGTAGAATAAATAAGATGATGGATGGAATCCAAAAAAAGC